AATAAAATAATAAATAAAATAATATAAAGTTTTAAAATAAATTATAATTTAAATAATTAATTTAATAATAATTTAATCAAGTTATATATTATATTAAATTATAAATTGAGGAAGATTTTAATTTATTTAAAAAAAAAGAATATGTATTTATACAAAAAAAATTATTAAATACGAATTTTAATATTAGTATTTATTATTATTTTATAAAAAAAAAATATAAAAAAAAAAAAAAACATTCTTTTATAAATATTTAATATAATATATGTACTTTATATAAATATTTTAGAATATTTTTTTATAATTATTAAAAATAAAATTTAATTAAAAATAAAAATATGTATATTTTTTAATTAAAAAGTAATAAACTAAAATATTTATAAACTAAAAAATGTTTAAAAAATATATTTATTAATACTAATTTATTTATATTAAGATAAAAATAAAAATTTAAGAACTTAATTAATGAAGTATTAAAAAAAAAAAAAAAAATATTAAATAAAATATATTAAAATATAAATATATTTAAAAAAAAAAAATATATATATATATATATATATAAATATTAAAAGAAATATATTAAATAATAATATAATATATTAAATATAATATAATATCTAAACATATGTAAATATTTAAATGAAAATTTTATATTAAAAAATTAATATTAAAAATAAATTAAATAAACAAATAAAATTAAAAAAATATTAAATATTATCAATAATTATTAAATTAAGATATAAATATATATAAAAATATATAAATATATATATAAATATATATATTAATATAATAAATAATTTTATATATATATTTATATATTCAATATATATATCATATTATATTATATATAATATTTTTTTTTTATATAATTCCTTATGATTAATTATAATATTTTATTTATTATGCTAAATCATATATATTAATTTACTGTATTCAATTTTATTTATATTATTTATCTATAATTCTATTATTAATATATTAAAAAAAAATGTTTTTAATCTTTTAATTTTAATTATACTTTTTCATAATATTCTGTTCACAATCAAATTATTTATTTTTATATATTTTTTTAATTTATACAAATTTTCATATTTTTTATTTATAAACATAATTATTCTCATTATTTTTTTATTATTTTTTTGTTTTATATAATTTATTCTATTAAACAATTTTTGAATTATTTTGAAATATACATTTTTATAATAAAGTTTTTTTTAGTTAGATATTTATCTTTATTTTCTCTTTTATATTCAATATGTATTATTTTAAGCGAAAGTAATAATTTTTTCATTCTATTTATATATAAGTAAAGATATCCAAATAATATTATATATAAATGAATCCAGAATACAATATATATATCACAATATTATATTCTAGTATTAAAATAATAGTATTATTTTTTTTAATAAAAAAATAGTTTTTTATTTTTTCTTCCCTGTAGTTCTAGCTTTAGTTTACATTATTTTTAATATAGACTTAAGTATTTAATTTAATTTTTAATTAAAGGTTAAACTGCATTAAAAACTCCATTTTTTACAATAAAAATTATATATAATTATTTTTTAAATTAATTTCATTTTTATAATTTTTTAAATTAATTAATTGATAGTTATTATATATGTTATTGTTAATATGTTATATATATTTTATACATTAATATTTTATTTTAATTTTGTTTTATATAATTTTATTGTTTAATATAAAATGTTTTGTTTATTCAATTTTTTTTTTTCCATTATAATTAACTAATAATAAAACTATAAATTAATTTATTAGAGTATAAATTATTTGAGTTTATTATATTATTTATGTAATTTTTCATTCATAAGTTTTATTATTATAAATTTCTCATATAAAAAAATAAGAAATAAGAAATATTATTAACTATATATTGCTTAATTTTAAATATTAATATTTTTTATTTTATTTTAATTATTATTTAACATTTTTCCCTACCTTCGGTACCATTTTTTATTTATAAACTGTTTCTATAATTTTTATATCATATTATAAAATGTATTATATTATTATTATAATCTATTAATAGCAAAATATTAGATTTTAATTTTTTATTTTTTTATCAAATTTAGGATTAAAAGTATATATAAGCTAATAATATCATATGATTATTTCTATAAATTAAACTCTTTAAATTTTAATTTTTAATGTTGATCTTTAATAATTTCTTTCTTATATATTTTTGTTTTCAAATAAAATAATTATAAATAATAATTTTGTTTGTTTGTTTTGTTTATATAAAATATAAAAATAAAATATAATATATTAATATAATTAAAAATATTTTATATACTTTATACATATATTTATAATATTTTTATAAAATTTTTAGATTGATTATAAATAAATATATTTTTTAATAAATTAATTAAAATTTTAATAACTTATTTTAAATTATATACATTTTATATATATATTTATTAAATAAATAATTTATAATTTATTTTTTAATATCATTATTATAAAATTAAAAATATGCATAAAATAATTTACTTTAAATTGTTTAAATTTAATATATATAAAAATATATTTATATATATATATATATATATAAATTATTTATTAATCATTATAAATATATATAAATTATATTCTTCATTTAATAATATTTAAAAAAAAATGATTATTTTTTTTGCATTTATTATTAATTTTTTTGCATATATATATATTATACACATTTTATTTTATTAATGAAAATAAGTTTCTTTATTTAATAAAAAAAAAATTAAATAAAAAAAATATATATATAAAAAATAAAAAATTATTTATTATATAAAATACAAATATCATTATTTATTATAAAAAATAATATTGTATCATTATTATATATTTTATAATAATTTTTTTTTTTTTTTTTTGAACTTTAATTATAGAAGAAAAAAAATATTTATAAAAATTAAATTTCTCTCTTTTTTCTTTTTTTTTAAATATATCATAAAAAAATTAAATACATGTTTATGGAAATATCAATTTAATATTTATATATCATATTTAATATTATGAATATATTTAATAAATTAAAATATATTAATTTATTATATTTATTAATTATTAAAATAAATTATTTTATTTTAAATGTTTAAAAAATAAAAAAAACATAAATAAAATATTATATTTTTTTATATTTATCTCTAATATTTTTATATATCAAAAAAAAAAAAGGTGATAATCTATTGATTTAGATATTTTTAAAAATTAAATATATTATAAAATAAAAGTGTTATATATTATTTATTGTTTTTGTAAAAATAAATTAATCTTAATTTATATTATACAAAAACAATAAATAATATATAACATTTTTATTTTAATTTGTAATATTTTAAAGGTAAAATAAAAAAATTTCTTAAGAATACATAGAAATAATTAAAATATTTAAATTTAAATAATATAAAAATAATTTTAACATAACTTTTATATATATAATAAGCATATTAATATTTATAAAATTATATTTTTTGGTTGTAATATAACTATTCTAATTAATTTTAGATTTTATTATGAAAATTACAAAAACCATTGTAAAAAATAAGAATTAAATAATATTATATTAAATTTATAATAAAAAATTGATTTGTACTAAAATTAAAATAATATTTATTATATATAAAACAGAATTAAAACTAAAAAACTTATAATTACAACCCAAAACTACAAAATTTTAAATATATAAATAATTATAAAAATTAAAAAAGTAAATAAAATAGAAAATGAAAAAACTTGTAATAGCCTTATTATTAATAACCTGCATTTTTGGTCTAAAAATCCTCTAACACTAATGTTCCCACAATAAAATAAAAAAAAATATAAATAAAAATAAATCCTACTTAATAATGATTCTTTAGATATTCGTAATTTACAAAATAAAGATCCACGTAATATGATAATAACCTATGATATGTATCATTTCGAAACATTGCCTCCAAATGCTAAAAATTAAATGTTAACTGCTACATGCGAAAAAGCCGTATAAATTGCAATTGAATATTTTTCTCATTTAATAAAAATAATCCCAAGAACTAAATCAGAAATGAAATATTAAGATGGTGAATGTGGAGATGTTGAAGTTCCTACTAGAGACATGATGATAGGAAAAAATTCTGATTTAAATTTATATGTATAATATAACATGGATGAAGATGAAGATTATTATGCTTATTCATTTACGTGCTAATTTTACTCTATTATAGGACCCACTCATGGTTTACTTAGCTTCAATTTATATAAATTAGCACAAATAGATTTGAAAAATCCTATTGAATTTGAAGATTTAGTTGAAATAGTTATCCATGAAATTACTCATGTATTAGGTTTTGACGATACTATTATACCTTAATGGGTAACTCCTTAAAAATCTAATCATATTAATCCTACTATTTAAAAAAAATAAGGGGAGTTGATAGTTTATTGCTCAGAACTCCTAACGTTTTGAAGTTTGCTTAATAATATTTTGGATGTCCTACATTAGAAGGTATGCCTCTTTAAAATTCAGGAGGTGAAGATTCTGAAAATTCTCACTGGGAAAACACAATTTTACAAAGCGAATACATGAATACATCTATATCATTGACTTAGGCCTATTTCAGTGGTTTTACAGCCAATCTTTTAAGGGACACAGGTTTCTATGCTGAAATAGACTCATCTATGGAAGAATAAATTTTTTATGGAAAAGGTAAAGGCTGTGAACACGTTATGGGTAAATGTAGAACTTCAACAAGAGAATATTGTAATCCTAAAACAGACTAGGGTTTATGCGATTTTTACCACCATGGTTCTTCTAAATGTACAGTTAGTGTATTTAATGATGCTAATTGTAATAATTTATTAAATAATACTAAATTAAAATGCTGGGATGTTAATAGTGAATAGAATAAAAAAGATATTTTAGAAGATCATGGAACCAAATTTGGGATTGATTCGAGATGTTTTAATGGAAATTTATTAACTAATAAAAAAAAATATGTTGAAAAAATTATGGGTACTTGCTATAAACATGAATGTAGTTCTAATGGATAATAACTCACTATTTATGTAGGATAAGAAAAACTTATTTGTAGATAAAATTTAGAGAAAAAAACAGTAAAAAATTATAATGGATATATTTTATGTCCGGAAAGCATACAAGAATTTTGCGGGTTTAAAAAAATATGCCCGAATTTTTGTAGTACAAACGGATATTGCTTGAAAAATAAATGTCACTGTAAAAAAGGATTTTTTGGAGAAGATTGCTCTAGTAATAAACCTGTTTGATAAAAATAAATATATTTACAATATTTATTTTTTATAAAATAAAATATATACAAAGAATTAATATATATATATATATATATATATATATATATATATATATATTTAATAAAAAATCTTTAATTTTTAATAAATTATAGTTATTCATATATTAATAAAAATATATATTTTTTAAAAAATATAATATTTTAAAATCTATATATTTTTTAATTTAAACCATGAGAAATATAAATAAATTTAAATATTCATTTAAGTAATTAAAAATTAAATATTTATTGATAGATAATTGATAAAAAAAAATATAAGTTTTGTGTTTTTAATAATTAAAAATTTATTATATATTAAAAAATTAACTTAACATATACAAAATTTTAATTTTATAAAGCATATTTAAGTTTTTAAATAAATAAAATTATAAAATATTTATTATAAATAATATATATTTTAATACATTATAAAGTTTATATTATTTATATTTAAAATGTTTTATTATATACTTATACATATTTATCATAAAATAATCATTTTATAATAAAAATATTATTATATAATTTTTTATTAAAAAAATTAATTCAAATTTTTTTAAATAAAAACTAAATTCATATATATGTGTAAATTATTTATATTATTCATTAAAATTATTTATTTTAACAAACAAATTTAATGCAATAAATTAGAAATTGACATAAATTAAATATAATAAACAATGATAAAAATTTATATTATAAATTATTTATATTTAATTAATTATTAAATCAAAAAAATTTAATAATAATAATAAAAAATATTAAAATAAATTATCTTAAAAGTTAAAAAATATAATGATAACTATTATATAATCTTGATTATAAGTCTTAAAATCAATAAGCAATAATTTTACCATAATAAAATATAAAAATGATAATAAATGCAATTAATTATTTTTCTCTTTTAATAAAAAATATCCTAATATTTGAATCAAATTTTAAATATTATTTTAAATGCCGTGTTAATTTAAAAATATAATATACATTTTAAATATTTTGGAAATTTATCTGATTATTTGTAGCTTAAAAAAATATGTCAGAGTTTCCGTAATAAAAATAATATAGCTTAAATATTAAACAATTTCGGAAAAAGAATTCTATAAAAATAATTGAATATTAAAATATGCTATGAATATTTATAAGTATTTTCTATTATTTATAGAAAAAAATAACCGTTTTTATAATTATTGTAAATTATATGTTTTTATTGTAATTTAATTATTTTTATTGTGGTTAAGAATTTTAGTTTTTTTATTTAAATATTCTTTTTTTGTTAATAACATTATTATTTAACATAATAAACTAAACTATTAAAAAAAAATGATAAAATTAAACAATATTATAAAATTATAAATTAATAATCAAATATTTAAATAAATATTAGATAATAATAATATAATAAAATTTTTGTTAATTAAAATAAATATATATTTTATAAAAAATAAATTAAAATCTAATTATATAAATATATATTAATATTAAAATTATATATATATTTTTTTTTGATTTAACTAAAGCTAAAACTTTAAGAAATAAAAAATTAAATTTCATTTCATATTAGTTTTTAAATTATAATATAAATAAAAAATTGATATTTAGATTATTTGAGTTAATATTGTGGATATCCTTTTTTATATGTAAATATAATTACGGGAATATTATATTTTCAGTTAAATTAATGTAATTTGAATATGATGAATAAGAGTGTATCTTTTGAATGTAAAATTTTATAAAAATAATGCATACTATACTATATAATTATGCTAGATTTGCATTTAGTTTTAAAAAGAAATTTATTAAAAATTAGTATAAATAAAAAAATACAGAAGATAATATTTTATTTGAAAATTTAAAAATATATAATGAATTTGCTAAATAGAAAAAAAAAAATTGGTTATATATATTTTTATTAATTATATATATATATATATATTTAAAGGGAATGTAAAACTTTTATTTAATTAATCAAAGAATTAGATTGATTTTAATTTTGGTTATTTTTTAAAGTTATTTATTTTAATTAATTTAATTAATAAGTAAGTAAAATAAATAATTAAAGTATTTTATGTCAAATTAAATTTATTTTTAAGTTTTTTTATACATTTTTTTGAAATTTCTTTTGTTTTTAGCATTTTAAAATAAGTCAAATACAAAAAAATGTTATATAAAATTAGCTTTTAAATATTATAATATATATAATTTATAAGAATTAATTGTAAATATGTACTCATTTAGGTATATTGGTATCGTTAAAATAATAAATATGAGTTATTTCGAGAGAAAATTACAACTTATATTAAATATTTAAGTTAAAAAGAATAATTCCAATCTAAATCTTAAATTTAATCTATATATAGAGGTTATCAAAATCAGGAGAAGATAATAGAAGATATAAAATAAGCTGAATTATAATTTTAATTCATCATAATCACATAGATAATATATTACTTTTTATTTTTTTCAAAATTTTTTTTTAAAAACAAAATGGAAACAAAAATATTAATTATATTTTAATAGTCTTTTTTTTATTTAATAATTATGATAATCTTTTTTTTATAAAATTTATAAAAAATTTTGAAAAAAATAAAAATAACTATATTAAATAGTGATATATATAAATAACAATTATTTTACACAAATATATGTTTTTAAAATAAAATTAAATATTAATATATTTTTTATTATATTTATAGTTATAAATTTATACCTAAAGACTTGTGATTGTATAATTTTAATATTAATAAATAATTGATTTTTTTTAAATTAAAAAGAAAATATATAAAATATAAATATATTTTATAAGTATGTGTATAAAATATAATTTTATATCTTTCAGCATAAAGCAAAAAAAAATTAAAAGAGATAAAATATAAAAAATAGATTAATAAATAATATTTAATAACATTCGATAAATATTAATAAAATATTAAAATGATATTTATATTTTAAAATAAAATATCAAAAATAAAAAATAAAAATATGAATAATAAGATATAATATAAATATTATATATAAATATATAAATAAATTCTTAATTTTTAAAACAATTTATTATAAAACAAATAATATAAAATTAATTAATTATATGCATTAAAAAATATTTTTTATTATATAAAAATTTATAGAGTAAAGAATAAATTAGTAAATTATATTATATTTAAAATATATTTATAATAAAATTTATATACTCATAAAAATTAATTAATATTAATTTATTTTTTAAAATAATTATATATATATAATATGTAAAAGTTTTGAAAATATTTAAATAAATATATATATATATATATATATATATATATATATATATATATATATAATAATATAAATAAAAATATTTTATATAATTATACTTTTATATTAACTCTTAATCAAATATTATTTTATTAAAAATAATTAAATAATCATTTAAATATTATTAATTAATGAAAGTACCCCTATTAATTTTATTATATATATCCTCTATTTTTTGTCTTAAAATCCTTAAACATTAATGTGCTCATGATATAATGTAAAAATAATAATAATTAGAATCATTTTTACCTGATACATAATCTTAAGATGTCCGTAATTTACTCAAAAAACCTCCACGTAATATGATAATAACCTACGATATGTCTTATTTCAATTCGTTAAATTAATCTTATAAAAAAGTTACTGAATAATGCGAGAAAGCGTTAAAAATAGCAATATAATATTTTTCTAGTTTAATAAAAATAATCCCAAGATCTGAATCAAATATGAAATATAAAAAAGATAAATGCGGTCTAGTTACTATTTTTAGAGATGACAAAGATAAAGGAAAAAATTCTGATTTACATTTATATGTATCATATAAAATGGATAAAGATATTGATTATTTAGCCTACGCAATATAGTGTTAACATTTTGCAGGTATAGGAGTTACTCATGGTTCAATTAACTTCAATTTAGAAAAAATGCCATTATTTAAATAAAATGCTTTAATTGAATTTGAAGATTTTTTGGAAGTAATTATTCATGAAATGACTCATGTATTAGGTTTTAGCGAAAACGATATAGAAAGATGGGTACTACCTAAGGGAACTACTCATGCTTTTGTTAAAACAAAAATAAAGGGAGTTGATACGGTATTGCTCAAAACTCCTAACGTTTTGAGGTTTGCTCGAGATTATTTTAATTGTCCTATCTTAGAAGGTATGCCTCTTTAACATTTAGGAAGCAAAGATTCTCAAATTTCTCATTGGCCAAATACAATCATCTAAAACGAATACATGAGTACATCTACATCATTTATTTAGGCCTATTTTAGTGGTTTTACAACCAATCTTCTAAGAGACACAGGTTACTATGCGGAAATTAACGCCTCTATGGAAGAATAAATGTTTTATGGAAAAGGAAAAGGCTGTGAATACGTCATGCGTAAATGTGATATTGCTTTTAGAGAATATTGTAATCCTAAAACTGACGTTGGTTTATGTGATTTTTACCACCACGGATTTTCTAGTTGTAAACCTGGTTTATATAATGATCCTGATTGTAATAATTTATATCCCTACTAAAATGGAAAATGTTGGGATGTTAACAGTGAATTTAACACAGATGTTTATAAAAGATCAAATGGAACTAAATTTGGTACTGATTCGAGATGTTTTAACGGAAACTTATTGGGTAAAAAATTTAAACAAAATGAATAAAATAAAAAAATCCAGGGTAATTGCTATTAATATGAATGTAGTTCTAATGGATAATAAATCACTATATTTGTAGATTAATTAAAATTCATTTGTACAAAAAATTTAGAATAATAAACATCAGAGAATCATTATGGATATATTTAATGCCCAGAAAATATACGAGAATTTTGTGGGTTTAAAAAAATATGTCCCAATTTCTGTAGTGCCAACGGAATATGCTTAAATAGTTAATGTCTTTGTCTTAAAGGATTTTTTGGAGCAGATTGCTCTAGTGATAAACCTGTTTGAGTAGAATTAATTTAATTAAAATGTTCTAATATAAAATTAAAAAAAAAAATTATATGTTTTATAAATGAATATTTAATAAATTTATAAAAATAAAAATAGTAATATTTTATTTAAAAAAAATATATAAATTATTAAGATAAGTAAACTTGAATTATAAATTATATATATTAAAAAACTATTTATAAAAATAAATATTTTTGTAAATCTTTTCGTTTATATAAAATTCATTTTTTAAAAATATTGAATTTTTATAATTTATTTTATTAATTTAAATAAATTCATATAATATATATATATATATATATATATATTTGCTATCCTTAGTAAAATTAAATATCCATATACATATTTTTTTATTTTTTTTTCTTTTAAATATCATTTAAAAGATAAATAATAAAAATATTTATTAAATGCATTCATTAATATTTAGCTTAATCTCTATATGCCTATTAAAAAATATACCAAATCAAAAATCCTTTAAAATCTTAATAAATTCAATAAAGGTAAACAATTTTTTAATTACTAACTTTTTCAATTTGGAAATTCAGTTCTCCTTTGTTTAATTTTCAAACACAATTTTTTCTCATTCTTTTATTATTTTGTTGTTTAACTAAATTTTTTAAAAAATTATTGATTTATCTTAATTTCAGATATATAATACTCTTTTTAAAAAGTTATAAATTGGTTAAATTCTTTATCTTAACTTTCTCTATTGTTTCTAAACTAAATTATTTTCACGCTACATGATATTATTTAAAGAATAATTCTACCATACAATGTATCGCATTCCTGTCATATTTTCCAATTAATTAAAACTAATTATAAGGATTTTTATTTATTTATTTATTTTTCAAAAAAAAAAAATAGTCTTTTCTCTTTATATAATAGTTACTACTTTAGCTTACATTATATAATGTCTTGAATAACTAATTAATTGATTTTTTTAATTAAAAATTAAAATATATCTAAAATTCCATTAATTATAATAAACATTATATAATTATTTTTTTATTTATTAAATTAATTTAATTTTTATATTTTTATTCTAATTTTTTATAGATATTTAATTTCTTTTTTAATATATTATAAATATTATATATATATATATTTTATTTTTTGTTTGTTTTTTTTTTTTTTTAATTTTCTAATGTTATTTATGAAATATTTTTTTTATTCTAAAAATCTTATTTTTTTATAATTAAATAATGAAAATAAAATTAAATGCATTTATTATAAAAAAAATTATAAAATTTATTTATCTAATTTTTTATTTTTATTTATACTTTTTATCATATAAATAAATTTATTCTATAAATTTTATAGAAATTATAAAAATGAGCATTTGTATATAGCATATTTTTAATATTAATATTTTTTTATTTTTATTATTATGTAACAAGTTTCGGCAACATTTGTTATAATGCAGTTTTTATTATTTTATTAACTTATTGTAAAAAGTAATAAATTATTGTTAGAATAAATTAATTAAAATTATATATAGGTTATAAATATAATCTGATTTTATAAGTTCTAGTAATAAAACAGTTTTTAAAAAATTTAAAAGTTTGTCCTTAAATAATTAATTTCTTATATCTTTTGTTTAAATTCAATTTATATTTATTTTGATTTTTTAAATAATAAAAATAAAATACTATATATTATTATATTTATAAATTTTTTTTAACTTTGAATACATATTTTTAGATTATATATTTTATATTATTTAAAAAATTATGAATATTATAATAATTAAAAAATATATTCTTTTAAATATATATTTTAAATAATAATTTTCTATTAATTTTTATATATTTAAAACAATAAATATTTATTTAGTATATAAAATTTGTTTTGTTATTTATTTTTATTTCTAATTTTAAAAAAATTATTAAGCAATTTAAATTTAATGATAATTTATATTTAATAATTAAAATACTATTATTTATAATTTTAAATCTATTTAAATCTATTTAAATATTTTTTTAAATATTATTTTTATAATTTATTATATTTTATTTATTAATATTAGATAAGCTTATTAACTAATGAACTATGCAATATTGATTTTTTATTTCTCTTATTTTATTGCTACAAAGAATATTTTTTTATATATAAACTATTAAAAAATTAAAACAAAATTAATTTGAATGATAAATATATATATATATATATATATATATATATATATATATATATATATATATATATATATATATATATTTAGATATATACATACAAAATAAAAAAATAAATACATAAAAAATTTAAAAAATAATATTTTAATATTTATATATTTATATTTCTTCTCATATTTATTATTTCTATTCTATTTTTATCTAAATTACTTATGGTTTTTAAACGCATTTTTTACTAAAAATATTTCTTATCTTATATAAATAAACAATTAAAATACACAAAATAATAGCTAAAAGTATCCAAAAACCTAATTACCAGAAAATACTTTTTTTTATTATTTGGGCAATACTTATTTTTCACAATAAGAGCTATAGTCTTTTTATATATAATCTGATAATAATGCTTTAAAATCATTATATTTACATATATCTTATTCGTTGCAAATATTAATATATTTACCATTAAATTTAACTTTAATATAATTTTAATTATCTTAATCATCTTCATATAACTCAAAAGCATAATTGGATGCAAACTCAGGTATTAATTTACATAATTCAGTTTACTATTATTATAATTTATAAGATTAAAGGCATTCTAAACTTGTTTATTTGAAAACCATCATAAAAGGATTTAAATTTGTATCATGAGTTGATGCTATAGTTATTTTATGAACGTTTTATTTTTATTTTAGATT